CACCTAACCATTGTAAAGACTCTGGAATGCTAATTCAGCGTTTCTCAAATAATAAGTATTATTAATACAATTCTAACGGTATCATTTTTCTTCTTTTTCTTTGTACCCGATAAAATGAATTTTATTTAGGTTGTGTTTGATATGAGAAAAAAAAAATTAAGAAAAAGTATATTACCTTACTTATTTTATAATATCTAATAAGTACATAAAAAAATATTAGTAAAGATACTCTATATAATTTAGTCAAACATAATGGAGCAAAAACCAAAAAATGAGGAGTAGAGGTGACTCAGGAACAGTGGCGGAGCCCGGAATTCACAAAGGGTGTCAAAAAAAAAGGGAAAAAAGTTCTTGCTAGTGAAATTCAAACACATGAACACTTAATGGCTCTTTTCAAGACATCTAAAATCACTAGGCTATAACATCTTTTTTTGTCAATGGTGTCCAAAATATGTTATTTAATCACTTTGTGTATTATTTTACTTATATATAGGGTATTATTTTCCGACGAAGGATGTCCAAATGGAATAGCTACGCCCCTGCTCGGGAGATGCTAAGGGAGAGGGAGCGTACCTACTTCCATCAATACTTATGAATTGTTATTAAGCATACTATTAACATAAAATGAAAATCTTTATTATTTGGTCATTATAAATTTAATATTAATGGCTCTTCTTAGGTAATTCCGGTTTATAGGGTATTAGAAGAATTATATGTAATAATAGATCGAGGTGATTGGATAATAAACTTTATGAAGGATATTTCAACTAGTACTAATACTCTGACATGATTAGTTGCTCTTATTTAGGGACTCAAGATTACGTAGGATAATAATTTGGTGCCTTTAAAAATCTCCACGAACTCAATTAAGGTAGCTAATTTTATCAATTATAATAATAAATTTTAGAGCTTTTATAATTCGTGAAGATAAATCATTGATGCAATAATTAGGAGATCTAAAACTTTCACATACCTATAAAAAAACAGAATAAAGTGGTTGACCTCTTAGACAAGAAAGGGGTTGAAGCAATTATTTGATTACATAAGAATTTTGTTATTTTCTTTCGTGTTTACAAATAAGACAGTATGGATAAATATTAAAAAAATATTTTTTAAAATAAAATTTCGATTCATAGTAGTAATTTGATAGCAACCAAACTACTCCCTTATTTTGTTATGTTGCTACTTAAACTTTTTTGCAAATACTATCCAGTTAACCAAAAAATAAAAAATACTTTAACTGATCAGATACGAAAAATAATAATGGACAAATTATACAAATGTTAGCGCATAAGCTTTATTTATCATCCTTTAATCTAATTTATAACAATTACCTAAAATGACCATTTAATCATATTTTTTCCCCAAAAATGACCACGCTACCTTTTCTTCTTCTTCTGCGTCGTCATCCTCCTCCTCCTCCTCCTTATTTTGCAACTTCTTCCTTCTCCTTCTTTTGCGTCTTTTCTTCCTTCTTCTTCTTGTCATTTTTAAAATTTCAACATATGACAAACGCGGATCGTTTTGAGGAAATTATATATCAAAAGATTAGAAACATTCAGAAAATTTCATATCTAAAATTTGAGACTGTTTAGAGTTGATTTTGAGTTGATCGAGATTGAAAAGTCAGTTGTATATTTTATGTACAATTAAGTTATATTCAGTTTTTTGAGTGTATCATAATGTATAATTAGTGTATACCTCATGTATTTGTAGACTATATTATATAGTCAATGTATACTTTCTATGACTTTTAACTATTTTTTTCTGTAAATAAAACTATAATTATATTTGTTATAAACTAATTACTTTATTGTATATATTTGAAACTATCACAAAAATAATTTAACACCAATCATATTGAGTACTTAAAAAGAAAATTAAACAGGAAAAATTACGCGACTAAATAATCATATGCTAATTAATTATTTAAATTAGTTGTAGTTTGAAGAAATTATTTTTTGTCACTAACATAGAACAATATTTACGTGGGCCACGTCTAGAATTTGTATAATTCGGTTCCTAATTGTATAATTCATAATTTGTATAATTTAATTTCTAATTGTATAAATAAAAAAATTGGATATGCTTACCGTAGCTATTTGTATACGTTTCATTTATCTTGTTTGTATATGATGTGTTGATACATTTGATTTGTATAAGTTCTGGAAAAAATCATAAATTCCTAAATACAAAATTTATATATACTTACTTTATTTGTATATTGACTAACGAAATATATAAATAGAAATATTCATAGCAAACAAAAATCATATATATATATATATATATAAGAGAACCCTAGGCCCGCCTATGTGGCGCTACCACAAACCAGAATTCCCTTTTAATTTATTTATTTTCAATACTAGCCTTCTCTTTTCAGGAAAAGTTGTGACTTTCAGGAAAAGTTGTAACTTTTATGAAAAAGTATGACTTTTATGAAGAGTTGCGACTTTTACATCAAAAGTTGTATCTTTTATGAAAAAATGTGACTTTTATGAAGAGTTGCGACTTTTACATCAAAAGTTGTGACTTTTATGAAAGGTTTTGACCTTTCCGAAGGGTTGTAACTTTTCCAAAGAGTTGTAACCTTTTCAATAAGGCACAATAAGTATTTATTCACACTATCCTTTGTTGTCTATAAATAGAGGGATTTCCTGCCACTATTATTTGTAGGTGTTTTTCCGCTGTAGGGTAGTCGAATTCAAATACATTAATTAAGCTTCTTATGAAGTTTGTTTCATTCCTCAATGTTTTCTTCCTCTTATTTCATGGAGCTTAATCTTTACTATAAGTCATAGCGATTCATGTAATTATGACAAATTTTTTTTTGCTATTTTGGTGACTTTTTTTTCAACTTTGTTAAAAATTTCAGCAAAGATGAATAAAAATTGATCTTCTCTTTTGTCCCTTTCTACAAGTTTCTTCGTATAAGCAAATAAAATTGATTTTGATTGCAATGCAACATTACTACTCTTGCATCTCTCATTCCACAACTCTTAACACTATTGAAATGGTTGAATTTATTAAATTTGGTTCTTTAGTAAACAAAAAGTTTATTTTTTCCACTATTATTTGTAAGTTTTTTTTTTTTTTTTTGCCATAAGGGAGTCCAATTCATATAAATTAATTAAACTTCTTATGAAGTGTGTTTTATTCCTTAAAGTTTTCTTACTCATATTTCTTGAAGCTTAATCTTTTACTGTAAGTCATTGTGATTCATGTATCTATTGCATTTTTATTTGCTATTTTGGTGACTTTTTTTGAACTCTGTTAAAAATTCCAGTGAGGATGGTTGAAATATTATCTTCTCTTTTGTCCCTTTCTAAAGGTTTTTTCATAAACTTTTTGGGAAAGTTGCTTGTGGATTGTACTATATTTGATAGCACACAACAACAAATATGTGATAACTGATACGGTACCAATGATGAAGTTTGTTAAAAGAACCAAACAGATTGCTCCCTTGCTTGCCATAGTTAGTATATTATTTTGATTGTTTTTCTTAGGTACAAACAATTCGTATGTCATTGCACTCTTCCTAGAATATTAGTATAGACACAATTAGTCCACTTCTTTTGTCGCATGTTAAGTAATTTGTCATATTTCTTCATCTCTTCTTTTTTGGGCATAATAAAAGATCAAGTTTTCTTGAAACAAACAAATGTCCAAAATCCACTATAACAAAAATATTTTTTATCGACAATAAATATGCACATTAACGAAGAGTGCTAGAGCCTTTACCGACATTAATTAATTGTAATTAGATTCAATATTGCTATAATCTTTAGGGACATTTCTAAAGAGTACCAATTGCCTCTGAAAATACATATTTACCGACAATTAAGCTATTAATTGTTGTTAAAGATCATTTTTACTTTAGTGGTAACTCTTTATTTTGATAAAGTTTTATGTTTTTTTAAATAAAGATGTAACAACTCTTTCTTTTGGATTATTTCAATTAAATTTGTGAACTATAAACTTGGATACAACCTGATAGACTATGTTATTGAAAAATATTTTTATCAACATGCCTTTTTCTTCTTGATTGCTAGGACAGTAAGGTTGTTTTTATTATTATTTGTGGATATTTGCGAGTTCAAGTGCTCACAAAATTATGTTATGAGATTTTAATATGTTATGTGTCAAAATTTTGATTTAGAATATCCAGTTGTGAACAGTTCCATTTAGATGTCACCTACTGCTTGGTCGATAATTGCATTAATTCTTTGTAACTGCATACTATAATCATAAAAATAACTATGGTTCAATTCAAAATAAGTTGGGGTCGGTAATATGAAACATAAGCAATAGTAATGACTACTGTGAGACAATGGGGAAAAACAGTTATGATACTAACAATTTTAGGGTCAATTTTAACATATACATGATACGTCATACTATAATAAAAACAAATTGATGGAGGTTCATAAGAAAGGAGCTGAAGGTCTTCCATTTGAGTTTAGTTAATTATGTTCTTGTATGGACGTGATGTTCCACTTTACTTGGGAGTGTTGTTGTTCGAGGCTTTTTGGTTTCGTCTTTAACGTCTGATGTTGTTCTTTATAACTTTTTTGAATTTAGCAAATTTCATTACTTCTGACCAACTATTTCTATGGAGATTTTCTTAGAGTTCTTTCTTATACTTAAAATCTCTCTATGATTCATAATGTTTCTATAACAAAAAAATAATATAGCACTTTAAGATTTTGGAGGAATGTTTTGCCTTAAAATAAAATGTTCTTGACAATATAGCGTATATATTGAAAATATGAATATTATCGAATGATCATATGTAAGCTTAGTAAAATAGTTCAATCCCGTGCGAAGCACGAGTAATTTATCTAGTATAGTTATAAAGAGTAATTAGACAAACTATAGCCGAGAGAACTTATTAAAAAAAGGACTTCACTCTATCTGTTATTAAATTGTTTTTTTACTAGAAATTAAAGCAGTACAAGAGAGGGAGGGAAATAAAAATAACAATAAAAAGAATTTTTAGAAAAGCTGTCTTAAACCTCAGTCCCCAAAATGAAAAACACGAGTAATTTTGGATTCTTAAACCCTCCCTCGCCAACGCTTACACTTCAAATATAGCACCAAATATTATTATACAGCAATTTTGTGTTGATTTGAGATGCAGATTGTTCGGCGGCTCTCCATTACTGTATCCAAACAAGGTTTGTTACAAGTAATTTTTTGTTAATCTGTGTATAGAAGAAGTAGTAGTATTATGTGATCTTCAATATCTGAGAAAATGTTAATTCAAATGCATGCTGAATCTGATGTGTATGACAGTAGTTGGAGATGCTTCAAATTCAGTTCGTGGATCGAAGACTCAGTGCCGGTGGAGGTCGTTTGCGGCCACCGTTCCGTCTGATTCAGCGGCAGATAGAAGGAAACCGAAAAAAGTATTAATGGAAGAAAGGATAGCAATGGTGGAAGGTTTTGTTAACAAGTAGTATATCGTTTTCCCTCTTTTTTAGGTTGACTTCTGCTTCTATTTTGTGTTTAATTGATGCAATAATTGTTGAATCCTATTCAAGTGTAGGGGGAGTGTAAAATATATTGTATGCCGCCTTTCTGTTAATTTTCTGCAAAATGTTGTTTCTAATCCTTGAACCTGTGACCTGCATCAACCAAATGAGCAACTCTATTGTGGCACTGGTTTGACTGTACAAATTCAAAATTAGGCCACAAGCTGACTAAAGAGTGAAAGTTAACATAATAGGAACAATTTGGTTACACTTAATTAGGAAATACTTCTATTTTGAAGCCATAGAGAGTTTTTTTTATATAAGTAATCAGAGATTTTATAAATGCTTGCACTGAGCCAGACATAATGACAGATTATGCAGATCCCCTGTTATATATTAATATGCATCTACATCATAACCAGGTTGCATAAAAAAGCTAGCAAAAAAAAAAAGACATCTTTGTTAAGGGTATGTATGTTGCTCTTATGACCTTAAAAGATTCTGCCATTTCTTTCAAGCCAAACATGAATGGCTTGAGGAATGCTATTCCAAGTCTTTTGTGATTTCTTGGACGTCCCCTCTCTGTTCCAGCATTGTATTAGCTCAATAATGTATTTGGCATGATTTAGAACATGTCAAAGATTGCCACAAACTTTCTCCACAGTTTGCTGGTAACTCTGCATTAAAAAAAGGTGGCCAACATCTTTGGAGAAGCCTATTTGCAGTGCAATGTCGATACCTTTCCAATGGCATGAATTTTGAGGATTCATATATTGATCCCAACAAATTTGTTATTGAGGCATAATAATTGTTGTTGTTAATCAGCATGGATAGTGGAGAGGACTGTTTCAGTTTTACGACCTGATACCAAGTAACAGAAATGCATTACAAGTTAGACTTTGGACCCATTAGTTTCCAGAGTAGTTTTTCATATTATTCGTCAAGTATTTGATATGTTATGAAGTTTGGTGCTATATATTTATTTAAGACGCATGACAGGGATTTTGCTGGCAATTTCTATTTTCAAATGCAACCCTTGACGAGTTTTGAAAGACTGATGCAAAGGGCTACTGCTAACCAAATAGGCATAAAGAATTTTCTGAATTTCATTTACAAGTTCGTACGAGTGTGAAGGAGGATTAACAAAGTTCCGTATATGCGAATTTGTGGAGGCAATATAAAATTGGATATATCTGCCTTAGTTTTATCATTATTAGGGGAAGCCAAGTCATGCTGTTCAACTTTATGTCTTACACATGAAGTTTAATCCGTTTTGTTCAATTTGGTGATTGATGGTTGACTAATTTTAGAGGAAAAAGGCAAGGTTACATTAGGGTTTTTGAATATAGTGGATAATATTTTACTTCATGGATAATTTCCCTTCCCGTCCCCCTCATAAGTGAATATTTTTTGTTACTTATCATGTATCCAAATATGGCAGTGGGATAGTCAATGTGTGTTTTCTTGGAAATCATTGTTCTCAATTGTATCTTTCCCCCTGATACTTCATAAAAAGAATTTCCCTGATGTCTTTCGAGTTCTACTTCTAAATTTGGCTGCAAAAACCTATTATATGACCCTTTTGTATACTATATCAATGACTTGGTAGAGTTTCAATGGTTGTATGATGCTCTTTTCTCTTGATTGGCCCACACTAATGAGATCCCTTCTCACTTTCCATTTGGTCAGAAGCTGGGAGCTCATAACCAAGATATTTCATGTTCTTGGAACTACCTTCTCCTAAAAACTACAGCCAGCTATCAAGTGTCCTTAGCTTTCTGAAGGCATGCACTAGTATTAGATATTTTTGTGACTTGATTATGGTGCTGCTCTACCTATCCATAGAAAGGGCTCATTTTATGTTTTGAATTTGCTTAACCGAAGTAGGGACCTCTGTTTTACTTTTGAAACTTGAGCTAGCTGTAACAATCATCCATATTATTGTATCTTCAGCTTGCTTCATGACCTTTGAGTACATTCTGTGTAAGTGGACCTATGAACTTTTGTCATCCTGACGGAGTTGATGATAAGCAAAAAAAAAAATAGCGTTCTTGAATTGGTTATTTGGTTGATATTTGAAAGCTACAATATAGGAGTATGGCCAAGTGAATTGGTAATCCTAGGGGCAGAATTTTAGAAGTTAAAAATGATTTTTTTTTGTGCAAACTGAGTTTTTATTTTTGGAGGTGTGCCAGTAATCAACAAGAATATGTTACTCTTATTTTCATGGAAAATGAGACATACATAGGTTTATTGATCACCTTGGAGTGTCCTTTGATTAAATTTTCTTCTATTTACTCATACTTGGGAGAAAATCTCTAGTGGTAGTGCAGAAAGATGAAGAAATACTGGATATAGTATTTTCTTTGTCAATGTTACTGAATATTGGCCCTTTCTTATTTAACAATCATAATAGAGCCTCTGGATGGCCTTTAGGAGTTCCCTAAAGGTATTGTTGTCTCTGGATTGCGGAATCCTCTGTATTTTAAGTCATCAAACCTGTGTCTTAACTGAGTTGGAATTTATTTGTGAGTAGTCCTGGCTGTCAATAAGGATGCTACCCAGGAGCTTTTATGTCAATCAGACTACTAGTTAGGTCTATATCTGTTCCTTTACACCACCTTTACATGACATCACTAAGCTAGACGGCTCCAGCCAAAGCAAAGAGTGAATGTTTATAGCTAATATGTAAGCATTGAAACGGGTCCTTAATTTGGTTTGCAGGATTTACAGTGGAGTTTTGAATTTTAAGATCAGCTAATCATCTTTTATCCATTTTGCAGATATAGAGCCATGAATGGTGGAAAATTTCCATCTGCTTATGCGGCAATGAAAGAAGTTGGTGGCGGGTATTACACTGTCAAGAAGATTGTCCAAGAAATGCAATACAATGCTAAAATGCCAGTAGATAAAGACTCTGTGGTTAAAGAAGTTTCCGCAAGAAAAGCTGCAATTAGGAAGGATAAGAGCAAGGTCGAGGTAAAGCTGCAATTAAGCAGTGCAACATGTCTCGAACATGAATGTGAGGATACTAGTAGCAACCGTGAGGCAGAGGCAAAGCTACAAACTCCAATTGCAGCAGAGAAGATTTCGTTGCATGAGGTGTCAAGAATTTCTGGAAGTGTAAGTATGCTATAGACCTGTTTCCTGCAAGATTCTGGATTTTAATCAAATAGAATTCATCAATTTCTTCTGATTAGAAAAAATTCCATCAAGGTTATCTGCTGTGATTCTTGTGAACTGGACTGAAATTAGAGGAAAACTAGAAAATCACTAAATGCTCTTTGAGTTTGTCTGAGATATTGAAGGTTGATCACAATTTTGACCAACAATTCTTGACTTTGAATTAATAGTAATCCTAAGATGTTCAATGATGTAATTGTTATCCACCACTATACTGATTTTTGGAATATGGTTTTGAATCCTCTTCTGAGGACTCCATAGAATCAGGCCTTTAAAGAGAAAAAAGACATGGCAAGCTATCTTACTATCTATTTCCTTTCTGAGTCCCCAATTTTTCACTTGTATGTTGCATGTGGTAAAATAATTAAGTTTCTAATGCAGGATAATAAAGATGCTGCTGCACAAGTTCTTGGAGCGGAGGTAAAATCTTTTTCACATTCCGAGGAACCTGAGAATAACATAAAACAGAAAGACTCCCCTATGGAAGATTTCAAATTTGATGGCCGAAAGCAGATGGATGAGCAAATACATTCACCTGAACCTGAAAAGCCTACAAGGTAACCTGGTCATTTAAGTTGATATTTTTTGAAAGATGCATGTCGTGTCTCAGGCTCACCGCTCACTACAACCATCAACCCCCCCAAAAATAAAAAACTCATTTATGTTGATTTTTTTGAAAGATGCATGTCATGTCTCAGGCTCACTACAACCATCAATCCCCCCGCTATCTTTCCGTTTGAAGTATCATTTGAATGTGTTACAGTATTACATAAGTTGCCAGGTGCAGAACCAGACTAGCAAATAATGAAAAAGTTGATTATTTCAAGCAACAAATTTGGGCAAATAATGATTTACGTGGTGGGTTGTCTTTGCAGTCCCATTTAATCAACTTAGTACAGAAGCAATGGATGTTGTAAACACACAAGTGAAACACGATGTTTTGAGGGATACCATTACGATCTAGTTAAAATTTGATAGATAAGGATCTTGTAAAAACTTTTTTCGAAGAATAGGCCCGACCGGTCAATGATGCCCATGTTTGTAGTTCGAAAGGAAGAGGATCCCTGGAAATTTATTCGAGCTTAATCCTTCTGAGAATTTTTATTCCAATCAACAGCCTCTTACCAGGTGATACTAAAGAGGGCCAGAGCTACATAAATCAGTTAGTAAAAGAACAGAAAATGCTTTTACTGTGTCACTTCAGTTATATAGGAATTCCTCCTAACCCAAGAGTTAAGAATAATAAAACAAATGATATTTGTCGAGAAGTGCAAAATTGTATCTGTTCAATGCAGTTAAACTTGGAATTGCTCTGAGGTTAGGGCATCTTAAAGCAACTCATATTACGTTTTTACTTGTGCCTGCATTTGACAGATCAACAGACAATCAGAGGTCTCCAATCCTGCTTTAGTTTATTGGTTTTCATTTAAAATCTTTTATGCATGAGTCTTGTTTTCGCCTTATCTGACATGAACTAGCTTCATATAGGAAATTATCGAATGAGCGCAAGGTTGATATACAAGCTGAAAGCAAACCATCCATGTGGAAAAATATGAAATCTTTTGCAGATGGAATCCGCAACATGTGGTGGAAACAGTAAATTAGCCCCCAGGTGGTCTATAGTTTATGAATTTTTCCATTCAGATATGGTACTGTTTTTATCATCTCCTACTGTAGCCAAGAGTCCTGTATTGATGGCTTCCTCCAAAGTCCAAAGTGGTTCTGCAGAGTTATCCAAAAACAAGGAGATGGACTGCATTTACGTCAACATGAGAGATCTTGTTAGTATAATGTTATGCAGGCACGTCTGTGCAATGAATAAATGATCAAATAGTGAGAGAACCTGATGATGAGGGGTTGTTGTTTTGAAGCAGTTCTTTTCTCTTTACAAGATAGGAGCCTCTTGGTAGGAGATAATTGTTGTATTAGATGAGCTGCATTGGATATAAAATGGTTTATATAGGAGATGGTGTAATTCTATCCTCACTGGAGATGCATGTTCATGTAAATAGCTCTTAAACAATCTAACCATTTTTATTTGTTCTTCTTATTCCTTGATATGCACACTTTTGTTTTTGGGAAGCTGGAGTTGTGCAAAATCACCTAAAGATGGCAAGATGAGCATACAGGGCTGTTCGTAACTCCGTAAATAATGAGCTCATCACTCTACCCAAAGATGGCAAGTTAGATGAAAGAAATGCTAATGCAGCATCCAAGCAAACTAAATATAGTCATCCTGTAAATAAGTTGCAATTTTTCCCAGTTTTTTTGCAAGAAAATTTCTCAAAGAATTGCAAGAAAGAAAAGTGAAAACAAATGTCTTTTCAATGGTGCTATAGTGTCTTAGAAGAAATGTTTTTTTTCCAATGGTACTCCAATAAATTTCTTATGACAAAACCAATAAAAATAAAAATAGATAAATAGTAGTGACTTTTTTGAACTAGACAAATGTATGGGGACAACATTGCAAAGGGAAAAGAAAAAAAGGAAGTCACACACTTGATCCTCACTTAAAAATATTTGCATTTTTGAAAAAAAATATGATTTTAGCATCTCTCTTATGTTAACTTTTTGTTTTCCATTCGGTAATTGGTAATTCATATTAGAATTTGATTATTTCAAATTTATCGACGCACTCCTTACCAAGCATCCTATTCACATACTTCATAGTATATCTTTTGTATAAAAATAAAAATACCTCAAAATAACATATAACTAAAAATAAATTTATAAAGGATTGCAAAACTAACTTATCCATAAATATACATATATTGTACACCATTATTATATTTATATGTATACTTCATATCTGATGATTATTTTTTTAGTGGGCAGCTATTTATATTAAACTTTTTAATAAAATATATATATATATTAAGAACCAATTTTATTTATATTCTCATTTTGTATTCCAAATCCAACGTCTACCGATCCATCATCTTTATCGTTGTACTTTTGATCATCTAAGCAGGTGATTGATTGCTTGCTTGCGTTCTATATTTGTCGTTGTAATTTCTGCTTCTTTTGTTGTACCATAGAAGAAGCTAAAGAGCAGATCGTTTTCATCAAGTGGAACTGGTTCGTCCATGAAGGCCGTAAAATTGAATTGATTTTGTTCTAATAAGTAATCTCTAAGTGTTAAGGCGCTTTTGGTTTTCTGTTCATATTTCTTCATATTGCTTCAATTCTACAAATTCAGTTCACATGATGTGTAATTGATGTCCAACTAATTTGGAATTGAGCCCTTATTAGTTGTTGAGATTTTTTAGTGTGTGATGGCTGGACTGGAGGAATTGAAGAAGAAACTTGTGCCTTTGTTTGATGCTGACAAGGGTTTTTCACCTACCTCTACATCCGATCCTTTTGATTCGTACTCTGTAAGTTCTTCTTTTTTGTTGTGAACTGAATTTTATATGAGGGATGGCCGGAGGGATGATATTGGGGTTTTTGTGAAGCTATCGGATGCCGGAACTGTGAATTTGTTGAGTCAATCATATGGAGTATACAATATCAATGAGCTGGGATTACAAAAGTGGCCTGTTGATGATACAGATCATGGTGAAAAGACATATAGATGTGCTTCCCATGAGATGAGGGTCTTTGGTGCCATAGGTGCCGGTGCCAGTAGTGTTGTTCAGAGGGCAATTCATATTCCAACTCATAGGATTATTGCTTTGAAGAAGATAAATATTTTTGAGAAGGTTTGTGAATTCCATATTAATGTTTGTTTAACTCTATCTATCTTTAATTTCTTATTCCTTTATAAGCCCTGTAATTTTAATGTGCTCCTTCCTCTGATTTTTGCTTCCTTTACCCAATCCCTAATATGTCTACAAGGTAGTACCCCTAGTGAGTAGACAAAAACAAGCAAAACTAGACTCTTGGCTTAGCTGCAAGCCTGCAATGATGTTTGGACTGTACAGAACAAGGAGTACTCTTCTTCTCACCTTCTCTCTTAGGAGTTATTGTTTCTACTAAACATAGAGGAAGACGACTGAACATTTCATACACTAAATTGTGGACAAGATCAACGTTAAAAGATAGATGAAAGTTTGGGGGATGACCATAATTCTGCATCAATATTACAAACATGGGTACTATTAGTGCTCCATGTAAAAAAACAAGGATGACTTTGAGTCTTAGCCCAAAGATAAGGACTATTTTGGGCTTTTCATCTATTTCGGTGTAGCAAACTATAACATATGCATCCATGAAGCATAAAGGGTGTAGTATCAATAGATCATCTTATGTTAAAAAGAATTTTTGTGCGTGTTGATAACTGAATGTTACGTGACCGTGTAATAATTTAAGAAGGAATTGGCCATAAGAAAATAGGAAAATGTCCAATTTTCTGTTCACTGAAATATTTCCTCTTGCATTTTAGGAGAAAAGGCAGCAACTACTTACTGAAATAAGGACATTGTGTGAGGCACCATGTTACCAAGGTCTTGTCGAGTTCTATGGAGCTTTTTATACTCCTGATTCTGGGCAGATAAGCATAGCTCTAGAGTACATGGATGGGGGTTCTCTTGCGGATATCATAAAAATTAGGAAGAGCATTCCAGAACCTATCCTTTCCTCAATGGTTCAAAAGCTCTTGCATGTAAGGACTCTTGTTCAACATCTTTCTTTAGTGGTTATCTTAGTATTGTCCTTTATTTTTATTTATAGATGCTTGCTGTTCTTTAAGGGTCTCAGTTATTTGCACGGAGTTCGACATTTAGTCCACAGAGACATAAAGCCAGCAAATTTACTTGTCAATCTCAAGGGGGAGCCCAAAATAACTGATTTTGGAATTAGTGCTGGTTTAGAAAGCTCAATTGCTATGGTTAGTTAATGAAGGTTATATTGAATACCACTTTTCTTTATGCAGGAAATGGATAATGAATCTTCTAGTGTATCTTGTTTCAGATTCATTCTTCTAATTTATTTTGTTTTCCAGTGTGCTACTTTTGTTGGAACAGTAACTTACATGTCGCCGGAACGAATACGGAATGAGAATTACTCTTATCCAGCTGACATTTGGAGCCTTGGGCTTGCACTCTTTGAGTGTGGTACAGGTGAATTTCCATATACAGCAAATGAAGGACCTGTCAATCTCATGTTGCAGGTCAATCTTCTACTGCTTTCTTTCTTGTCTTTCTGTTCTTGATTATTTTAACAGGATATGTAACGTAACGTCCCTCCACTCACCCAGGATATATAATATGCAAGTTTGAGTTCAAACTCCTGTAAAGATCTCATCATCACATCCTTGTTTTTCCAATATTATGATGGCAGATCCTAGATGATCCGTCTCCTTCACTGTCAAGACACGACTATTCACCAGAATTCTGCTCATTCGTTGATGCTTGCCTCAAAAAAAATCCTGATGACAGGCCGACAGCAGATCAGGTTAGTACACATTTTCTTTTACAAGGAAATAAATCACAAGAAAGGGTGGATGTTCTACACATTCTAAATAGGCAATGGAGCTGTGGAAGAAGTATTAGTCAGATGTACCTCTAGTAATGATTTGTTGATCACTTGTACACTTATATGCCGATCTTGAACAACAAAAAAAGAAATATCAGCCCTCTTTCCCACTCTATATGATATAAGTTTGACTGCATTTCTGAGAATTGTATGGTAAAGTATATTAGTAAGAGCATGAAAGATACAAAGTAAAAGTCAATATGTCAGTATGATGAGGGAATCATCACACCATTGCTTACAGTTGAATAGGTTAGATGTATTTTTCTTGACCCGAGGGATGTGACCTGGAATAATTTTCAGCCGAGTGGTTTATTTGAGCTTGATAGTAACGATCAATAGGTAGTGCGTATTTCGGTCCCCGTCTTTTAGCACCTACCAAGGCACTGTGATTCTGCTGGAAACAGAACCAGACTGTCAATTTTACTCAAATCACTTGGAATAATTTTCAGTTTTAGTTATTAATATGTCTTACCATTTTCCAGTCAAGTGCATACTATTGATTATTAGATAGTTAGGGGTCGTTTGGTTGGGAACTAGTTATCCCCGGATTAACTATCCTGGGGTTAGTTATCCTGGGATAACCTATCCCACCATGTATATGAGATAACTTATCCCATCACTATGCTATAAATGGTGGGATAAGTTATCCCAAACATGTCAACCAAACAAGACATCTAAATTTTATTCCAGGACTATTTTTTATCCCAAGACTATTTATGCTTATCCCTCACACCAAACGAGCCCTTACAATATTATAAAGGAAAAACTACCTAGTTAGACATACTTTAGTACCATATATACTTAATTTACCTCTAGTTTAAAAAAATTACGCACAATACCACTTTTATTTTTTATACCATATAGTTTAAAATATTTAATTAGATACACAAATCTCTTATATATGATATTAAATAATTATCTTAAAATTTAAACTTATTAATTAATGGTAAATTATCAATTCAAAAAGTGTTTCTCTCACTTCGATCTGTTGCTCCCTCCCCAAATCCCATTACCTTCCGTATCTCTCACCCCCAGCCCACCCCCCACGATCTTCAAACACTTTCACCCTCTCCCTTTCTTTCTTAATCCTCTCAATTCCATGTCCCTAATTCAAAACTAAATCTTGATAATCACAAGTATACAAAGATGTAAATTACTTTTTTTTCATTATTCTAATGTATCTTGGTTTTACATCTTATTTATGTATTTGAAATAGAGTTCATATTTCTCTAAAGTTCTATTGTATAAACTTTTACAAATTAGGCTATGAGATACATGTATCATTAGTGGCGAGATACATGTATCTAACAGTTTTTTAAGACTGAGATACATATTGATACATGTATCTGAGATAAAACTCATATTTCTCTGAAGTTCGATTGTATAAACTTTTAAAAATTAAGCTACGAGATTCATGCTCGAGATACATATAGCATTACAAAGGGCAATAGAGAACCTTTCTGGTTGATGCATATGACAAGGATTTTGGTCGTTCAGCCGAGATCAATATGAAAGGAGAAAACTACATGATTCTTTGTACTAATTTCATTCTATTCAGTTCCATTATCATAATTAGACTATTTTAAATTGCACCTCAACCTGCCGATGTATTCCCCTTTATATGTGTTTTAAAAAGTTGGCGTAGGATTCAGGTGGATACAAAGGAAGGAACCGATGAAGAAGATGAAGAGTACAATAACAAAATTATTTGGGTTTATGATTTCGTTATTTTAGGAAAACTTGTTAGAGTTAATACTCAAGATCCTGTAAATCTGTTGGGTTGTTAATTAGTCAACAATCAATCCTTAATAAAGGAAATAAGTTACACCCCTTTAATTCAAATTGAGAAATTATTTAACTTAGCTTTAAAAACTATTGGATACTTGTATCTCTGCCCTTAATGATACATGTATCTCGAGGTCAAATTATGGTATAAAAAGTAATATTACAAACTATTGGGAATTATAATAATTAGGATCTAAATTAGTGGGATTTATGTAAGATGCCCTATTATAAATTGTTAAAAACTTGAACTGGGAAACATGACCTTTTCTCTATAATACACTGGTTGTTTCTTGTAGACAAATATGATTTCGTCTTATTAAATGAAAACCGGTGCTTCTTGATGGATTGGTTGTCTAAAATTTGTAGGGGTGCCTAACCGCCAGGCACAAGGGGTTTAATATTATTTATATAGTTTCCATTGTTGGAGCTGGAGGGATATTGTGTGTGCATATATATTTATTGAAACACGGAGCTACCTATTTCATATTGCTTTTCATTGTTAGAACTTGAATTGAATTTTATTTAACCTGTATGAAACGGGTGGGTTCAGTTACTTCAATGATCATAGAGTTTTCTGCATAGACTTATACCTTCAGGACCTTTACAACATATAATCATTATATTATGATATACAAGGTAGACTGGTTTAAGAATGGTTGGTGGCTTAGTGTGCTCTTTGATTGCAGCTACTGTCACATCCATTCATTATCAAGTATAGTGATTCTGCATTAGACTTGGGTACTTTTGTCAGAGACATTTTTGATCCAACACAGAGGATGAAGGATTTGGCAGATGTGAGTTTTCCTACTTCATATTTGCCTTTTCAGTAACTCTGATTTCTTTCATTTAGTGAAAATCTAAGAATCAAGCTGTCTCAATTTTGTTCACTCGCTATCAATTAAAATTACAACAGGTCAAAATTTCTAGAGTAGGTAATGCTAAATTCATGTTTGTTGTTTGTTGTTCAGATGCTGACGATACATTATTATTTACTATTTGATGGATCTGATGAATTTTGGCAGCATACCAAGACATTATATAATGAATGCTCCACTTTCAGGTATATGACATTTGCTATGTTAAATCTACACTTGTTTGTTGCAAGGAGAGTTGATTTTTAGCATATGTCTGTCTTTAGTTGTCTGTGTGTATTAACGCACGTAACAAGCATGCATATAAACACACAGGGATATTGTGGGATATTATGGGATCTGAGGAATTTAAGGCTCTTATATTTAGCAGCTAGGTCTTACTTGGGAATATTGTGGGATCTGAGGATCTTGAGGCCCTTTTGTGCAGCATGCCTTGAATTGCATTTTCGTGAAACTGTTGTGGGTGTACCAACATGATGACCAGAGTATCTGTATATACACTGAGATATTGTGGAATATAAGAACTCTTGTGCACTCATTTATTATCAAATTTAAAGCTCTTTATCTTCTTGACTTACATTTATGTTCATTTGACTTCTAAGTTTTGGCGGCATAGAATCCATTGGTCCCAACAATATTTTTTCAACCTTGTCCAACATACGGAACACATTAGCTGGAGAATGGCCTCCAGAAAAGCTTGTCCATGTTGTAGAGAAACTTCAATGTCGAGCTAATGGTCAAGACGGAGTAGCAATTCGTGTCTCTGGATCTTTTATAGTTGGAAATCAATTCCTCATTTGTGGAGATGGTATGCAAGTTGAGGGTCTGCCAAACTTGAAAGATCTCTCTATTGATATACCCAGCAAACGGATGGGAACCTTTCATGAGCAGTTTATTGTAGAGAAAGCAAACATTATCGGTCGTTATTTCATAACTAAGCATGAACTTTTCATTACTCAATAGAACTCTTCATGAGATCATGAATGTAATTGTAGTTGTGTGTGTTCCTGTAAATGGAAAAAGTTGAGAACGACCTAAAAGTTAATTCCCTGTGTGCAATCTGTGCTATTAAAAGATGCTTTTTCAATTATGTTTTAACCCTTTTCAACTTTATTAAACCTAATAATTGACACGAGATGTACCGACAGTTTTACCTATTGTGAACAGTATAATTCGTTAACTACATTTAAGCCATGCTTCTCACGGTTTTCTTATTATTGATGCAATTTTCAGTCCTCTCAGCATTACAATTTAGGTTTGATCCAATGGTGAATTTACCATTCACATAACGAACAAATTGCTACATATTAGCACCGACAATCCATGTAATATACAGCACACAGATGAAGATTCTGGCTCCTCCCTCACATTCAGGGGGTGTAGAAATGCTTCATTGTCAAATGTCGATCGTTAAAGTCAATCATCGGTAAGCATGTTAAAGCAAACAAGTCAGAACCACTGATCAGTATGTGCATAGTAAAACAACTAATGATGTTCGTTGATTCAAACACTTGCATTGTGGGCACACAGATGAAGATTCAGGCTCCTCCCTCATATACAGGGGTGTAGAAATGCTTCATTATCAAATGTCAATCGTTGAAGTCAATCATCGGTACCCATGTTAAAGCAAACAAGTCAGACGCATTGATCAGAATGTGCATAGTAAAACAACTAATGATGTTTGTGATTCAAACACTGCATTTTGGGCACACTGTACCCGCAACTGATGATTCTTAATTCTAACACTAAACTAAACATCATAAACATGATAAATCCTTGTAAAATCAGTCATCATCATCATCAGAACTGTCATATACTGAAAGCAAGCTTTTTACTGGATTATCTATCTTTCTATCACCAGCTTCATTTGACCTGACCAGCAAAGTTTCTATCTCCTCATTATCAGCACCAGACTTGCCACTTGACATAGCCCGTGTACTTGGAAGTACAGGGGAATTGTTCCCATTGGATGAGTTAGAAACTTTTGGCTTCTTGGATTTGACTTCTACAACTCTTTTTAGTAAATCTTGCTGCCTGTTGCCAAGAAATCAATCTCATAATGTTGGATTAATTCAAAAGATTGTTTGGGCAGACAACCCAATAAAAAAGGAACAAAAAAAAGGGTAAAACCACAAAGCAATAATCTGCCTTGGAGTAAAAGAGATAAACTGAAACCTGATCCCACTCTTGGGTTTGGGCTCAACACGAAGTGGCAGAGGAAGTAATGCAGGTGACGAGTTAGCAACAGCTTTGTTTCAAATTGTTAAGGAAACCACAATCTATCACATGATTACCATAGATACCAATGCCCTTTTTTTCAAAGTCACAGCCTTGTATTGTGCTGGTAAAAGAAATTCCATGCGAGAAATCATCAATATGAACCTTCTCAACGGTTCTATATGTAAATGAAATTCACTTGACATCATTTAAAATTTTCCATCACTGGACAAAGCCAACAAGCAAACGATACACATGCAAGATGAGATATGATCCAAGAAAACAAATAAAAGGATATCTTAAATGCTTGGAATGCACGTTTTTCAGTACGACGCAGAAGACGTTCTGCATCCTCCTCAGCTTCCATCTGTTCCTTAAGATAGAGCAAGTCATCGCTGTCCAGGGCTGCATTTTGCAAAACTTACACAATGCTCAATAAACTACAACTCCCTTTATCATATATATGATTAATGGCACACCAAAACCAGGAAGAAAATTAAAGGAAAATGCATCCAAAAGAGCAAAACTCAATACCGCCTCTTCCATGAAGGTAACCTCCACGTTCCCCAGTAACATCTTGCATCTGAACATATTAATCACCCAGTAGGAAATGCCAAGATCCCTGCCAGGGCAGGTTATCAGAACACTCAATGCAGTGGAAATTCATCCATATCCAAATATCTTAGCAGAAACATATCAATTGTCCATTCAAATAAATAAATAGAACTGGAGGTAAATTCGAAGCTTGAAAACAAATTCATGAGATAACAATGGTGAAGCGTGATTCGCTAACCTTGGAAACCATGCGGTGGAAAGCGATTTCTTCGTCATCAATTTTATCCTTACCTTTACCCCATTTCTTATCTGCAATTCGTTTGAATGAAACTCGAAATCAACGAATACAAAAAATGTAATCATCAGTAAAAAAAAATGCATTAGAGTTATGGGGAAAAGTACCTTTAGGATCGGTGAGATTTGTATATTCTCGAACTTCTCTTCCGGCCATGGCTGCAATTGCTCGGAGTACCAATCGGAGATGGTTAGGGCTTTATTTCTTGCAATCGGGTCTATTCTTCTGCCCCCTTTGCTTGGCTATTCTGACCCGACTGTAAGCTTTGTTTTGATAATCCAAATCTACGGTTTGTTTTAACAACACACGTGACAAAGTGATCTTATTATATACTAGTACTCCCTCTGTTTCAATTTGTGTGGTATTTTTCATTTTTCGAGAGTCAAACAATTTAAGTTTGATCGAAAATTTGCGCATGAAATCTTCAATTTTTCTAAAATAAAATTTATATATTTGTAAACTACGTAAAAAGTACTATAAGTAACAATAATTGAAAATTCAAAATGTTTAAAAAATCTATGAAAATTTTACGATTAAAGATAGACTTGTTTAAATCTTGAAATCCGAAAAGTGCCACATAAAATGGGATGGAGGGAGTAGTACTTTTTTTTTTAAAAAAAAATGTGCATATTTTTAAGTGTTCATTATATAGGTAAGTTAATCGTTGAAATAATAAATGTCGAGAAGAATAAAAATTCTTGAACACGAATAAATTTTAAAATATATATTAATTTTACATCTTGCTGATCAAAGTTGTCTGATAATGCAAGGGAAGTCATCGAAGAGCTCTTGACTATCATTTTTGGTATTGAAAGAACAAATTTTGCTCTTTGAATCTTGAAGTACCAAAGAATCAAGAAACTTCACGACCCTCCATATTTGTAATAATGATAATGGTATTATTGAAAATTACTTAAATATGAATAAAAAAATTTTTGATATTCTATGTGCATGAATCAATATGTTTATTTCTATAAAAAAGAATAATATATGTATAACTTTTGTCATATTTTATCATTTCATGAACCACTTGAAAACTAGCAAAACTTTTAGATAAAGAATTCGACTGGATCAAAATATAATGATTATTAAATATCCACCCAAATCCAGGCAAAGAAGGTGAATTATATTTTCATTATATTTCATAAATTGATTATGTCACCCCACACAAATTGCGAGTTCCAATACCTTTTTACTATTTTAGAGAGTGGAAATTTAATTTAACTAACTTAGTACACAAACAAAATTAATGCTCAAAATGGCAACAAACTTCATACATTTATTGTTAGCATTAATTTAATTGTACAATTAACTCTAAGTTTGGTCATGTCACATGATGCTGTTGGAGGCTTGTTTCCTCTTCACTTTCACTATAAATATTGTTCACGTGGAATCACTTAAAACCAGTATACAAGAAAAATGTACAATCTTAATAATCAATTCTTACAAAGAAATCATCACACTACTGATAATTAATTCTAACAAATAGATTATTATCAGTACAACATTTTATATCACAACATGAAAATTAAAAAAAACAAATAGCTAGAGTATAATTGTACATGATTTAATTGCAAATTGGAATTCAGAAACATTAATAAAAGCAATAATACATAATAATTATTGTGTGGGGCAGTGCTTAACTTCTGGTTAATTGTATCTGAAAGCCATTGACCAAACGAGCAGATGGAAAAAAAGACATACGATCTTCCTTGACTTGTTTCCACCTACAAATTTAGTAAGCATTCACTTTGTTAGCAAAGACTAATCGAGATGTCTGAGCCAATTTATGCATATTTTAACTATTTCATCAGATATTGATTATTTTTCACTGACACATATATTAGATAAAGCGCATACCTATAAGTAGTGACGAAGTAATGAAGAAATAGTGCAATTTGAAGACGAGCCAATTCAGCGCCAGGACAAAAGCGTCCACCTCCTCCAAATGGGGCAAAAAATGGGCTACCTCTCCAATTTCTTTTTTCCTATTTTTTCAATTGTGATTTAATTAAAGGAAAATAATTTCATCAGTACATTTATTTATATAATTACAAACATAACCATAAAAAAATTGTTGAAAATATTGGTTAAATGGTTAACCTGATTTTCAGGATTCATCCATCTCCAAGGGTTGAAAATTCTAGGTTCATCATAGATGTTTTCATTTAGATGAACTGCGGAGAGAAATGGAACAACAAAGCATCCTTTTGGGATAACATAATCTACATCCATAAAAACACAATGTGAGTAACAATAACAAAATAATCAGTGTAATTTCATAAGTGAGGTTTGAAGAGAGTGATGTATAACACAGTCTAATTAGTCTTAATTACCTTATGAAGATGAATGGTGTTTAAGTAACTAGGAAAATGTAAATGTGAGACTTTTTTTAAGAGAAATTACACATTTGGCCCCTTGGCTAAAAAATACTATATACATATACTATATACTAATTCTATATATATTATATATTTGCCCGCTATTTATTTTATTTGCTATGTATTCAAGTTAAATTTAATTTTTCTTGAACCAAGCACGTAGAATATTTTCATTTGTCGATGAACATAATACTCACCTTTGCAATCTAAAATCACATAAAATTGCATAAAACATTTCTCATCTAAAAGCTTAATCATTGAGACGTTTTTTATTTATTTGATGCAATACTTCCACTCACACTAGTAATAATTTTTAATAATAATAGATGTGGAATTTTTATGGATTGAGCAAAGAAAAAACTAGGCATACCTCCATATACGACATCGTTTGTGGCTTCTCTCATCAACCATATTGCAATGCCTCCTAGCCTAAGAGTTTCATCTATTACCTGTCAATATGTACAAGTTTTATCACAAGACCGAAGAGGTAAAATTAGAATTTTAAGTTTATGAATTCTACTCGTGAC